CAAACAGTCATTTTTCTCAAACGAAAGAGAACAATCAATTCCGTGAATACACAAGAGTCTAATTAATACGCTAAGCGCGGAGAAAAAGGACACCTACATTAGCGTGATAAGACACGCGTATAATTGAGTTGACGTCTTCTACGAAGTAAGATACTCGTAAGAATGTCAATAGATTTCTAAATATTATGCAATATTATATTATAATTATATAAAATCATTTTGCTCTGCATACGTCAGAGAATTTCGAAGAAAAACATTTAATATATACCTTTGTTCGTAATTAACTTCCAAAATTGCATTTTTCTGTAAATTTACAATAATTACATCCAACGTTCAGTAATTTTCGTAATATCGGGTGTAGTTTCGCTTAATTCACTATTTGTTTCTGGAATATCCTCAGTTTCGCCTTTTATTTGATCAGCATCGATTGAAGAATGAGCAAATCTTTTATTTTTCGGTAAACGATGGCGATAATTCTTGTGGATATTTCGAGACATTTCTGCAACGCGTTCGTTGAAATCCATAATTGATGAAGTAAAATTGATAAAAATAAAATTGATAAAATAAAAATAAAGGAATCTTCTAAAAATTTTTTCTCTGTGCGAAATAAATAAGTAATGTTACAAATATGTTACGTTACATCTTTTAAGCTCGCTGCGACATCGCGGTGATTATTAAATTAATTGAAGATCATTAAGAGATTGATTATTTCAAAAACAGTTTCTCAAACAGTCATTTTTCTGAAACGAAAGAGAACAATCAATTCCGTGAATCAATTCCGTGAATTCTGACGTGAACGCAAGAGTCTAATTAATACGCTAAGCGCGGAGAAAAAGGACACTTATATTAGCGTGATAAGACACGCCTATGATAATTGCTGAAGTAAAATTGATAAAAATAAAATTGATAAAATAAAAATAAAGGAATCTTCTAAAAATTATTTCTCTGTACGAAATAAATAAGTAATGTTACAAATATGTTACGTTACATCTTTTAAGCTCGCTGCAACATCGCGGTGATCATTAAATTTATTGAAGATCATTAAGAGAATGATTATTTCAAAAACAGTTTCTCAAACAGTCAATTTTCTCAAACGAAAGAGAACAATCCATTCCGTGAATACGCAAGAATCTAATTAATACGCTAAGCGCGAAGAAAAAGGATACTTATATTAGGGTGATAAGACACGCGTATGATAATTGATGAAGTAAAATTGATAAAAGTTTCTCAAACAGTCATTTTTCTCAAACGAAAGAGAACAATCAATTCCGTGAATACGCAAGAGTCTAATTAATATGCTAAGCGCGGAGAAAAAGGACACTTATATTAGCGTGATAAGACACGCCTATGATAACTGATGAAGTAAAATTGATAAAAATAAAATTGATAAAATAAAAATAAAGGAATCTTCTAAAAATTATTTCTCTGTACGAAATAAATAAGTAATGTTACAAATATGTTACGTTACATCTTTTAAGCTCGCTGCAACATCGCGGTGATCATTAAATTTATTGAAGATCATTAAGAGATTGATTATTTCAAAAACAGTTTCTCCCATTTTATAAAGTATAATTAAGTGCAGCTTTTTGACCGACAAAGAACATGACAATATTCTAAATTATTTGACGTAAATGGAAAGAGAAGAACGATTCGTTTCTCCAACGATCGAGTGTATTCGATCGCCAATTGCGAGTTGACGCTCTGTTAGATTATGTATACCAAGTCAATTAATAGGGGCACCGAGTGCTTGTACTTTGAGCAAAGAAAGATACTAATTAGAAATGCATCGACCAGCGAAGATAACCGTTGCCCAACGTTTTAGAAGTCGGAAAAGAATCGATGACCTGACCATCGACAAGCTAACGCAACTCACGTCGACGCTCTTTCGCTCGTTGCTTCATTCACCCGAATTCCTGTCTCTGTATAACTGTAACGCTTTTTATCGCTTCCTCGAGATGAAGCAGAGTGTACATTGAATGAAATCATTGCATCTTCTCCGCCAGTAAATGACCGGAGATTTAATGTAGAAATATTCGCTCGCTTCTCGATACAATCGCTCGGACGGTGTACTTGTGTAAATTCTGTAATTTCCCGTCTCCCCGTAAAGAGAATGTTGTATTATAAAATGTTATTTATAAAAACGCTATTTATAAATTATGTGTTTTACACAAACTGTAAAAATATAGACGTATTTATGGGGGAGGAAATATTTATTTAAAAAAATAGTATGAAAATTTCTTAGAAGACTTAAATTAAATATTAAAATAAGATTAATTAATAGATTTAAATTAATCTTATTTTAATATTTAATTAAATTAAAGGATAAATTCGTGGTTATAATAATTGAATGAATTTTTTGATTTAAATATAAAGAGTACACCCGTGGATCGCTTTGTTGATCGCCGCAGTAGGATCTCGGCAAAGTATGACGTTACACCCAAATTCCTGCCTCCGAATAACTGTAACTCGGTTCCGGGTGCCGATCATATGATGATGGTTATCGAGTAGTCGTCACTGAATTCGCTGATGGTTCTTGGTACCTCGAAATGACGTAAGATACAGATGCGAAGTGTCAAAAATTGAATCTACAAATCGGAAATAAAATCTTGATATTCCTAACTGAAGGCGAATCAACTTGATTCTTACCCTTCCTCAGTTTTATCGATGGCAGATCGATGAAGTCTGTAAAATGAGCATTTTTCGATCAACCTAATCGTTGACGGAATCTATTCGTCTTCTGTTGAGACTGAATTGTAGAAAGAGCGACTGTCATGAGAGACCTTGAAATTATTATACTTTATCATACAGTTCGCGATCAGCTGTAAACTTGCCGAACTTTTTTCCTCTTGTCAGAATTCCTATCTAGATACTATCAGCGAAAATTAGAAAAATTAGGAAAAGATCGAGAGTAATATATTTATAAAACCCAATGTATCCTTTAATTTTATTTTTGATTTATTTCGTGTGTTGAAGATAATGTTAAACACATGCTTCAAGCATGTTTGATGGATATATTACAAGAATATATAAATCAATAGCTAATTAAATCCGAATGTAATTTCACGCTCGATAAACAATCCGGTTTATCGTTTGTTTCTTAACATTTATGTTATTAAAACAATTGTGTTTAATCATCAATTAATCATAATTAATTAAGATACTAGCATCTAGTTTTACATCACGAAAACATTTTACACTTCGCGTCGTGCATACGATATGCACAGTTGAACATTTGTTTGCTTTATTTGTCATTGAAAGATGAATGAGTTGCCCTTCGGTGTAATAAGAAAGCAATTTGTCAAGTGATTCAATATCATTCTGACATCTTGGAGTAAATAATCGGGTTCCGAAATTGTAACTGTGATTGTAAGAAATGTAAATGATACAGTGGTCGCAGAAAAAGATCATCGCGTGAAAAGTAACAAAATTTAGATGATAAATTAAAATTAGGCAGTCGCTATACGAGTGGCAAAAAGTGTAAACGTTAAAGTGCAGCATCTCGCTGTAATCAAATGCAATTGCAGGTGTAATTATGTCCAGTCGAACGGACAGTCTATTCTCATCTCGTGGGAACGGGCAGTCTATTCTCATCTCGTGTTCCTACACTGAGAAAAAATTTGATTGTATCAACAAGACGTATATGATTGAAGGCATTTTGGTTAAATCAAGAATTTCTATTTATCATGATAAGAAGACTCGATTTTTTAACTTTTATTTATTAACCAGAACGTTTAATAGATTTTACTATAAGGATTTGGTTAGTATTTTCTGGTTGAATCTATAAAATTCCTTGTTGCATAAACTTTTTTGCTTGCTTCTTAACTTAACTCGTATTCAATATTTGCCATAAAATGTATTAAAGAACTAGTATTAACATTAAATCCAAAGTATATTTTTTTCTCTTACGAGCAGTAGTGCTAGAAAGAGGACGTTAGCTCTCTGACTGTGTGTGTTTGAGCTGCATCCTCTTCTTGCATCACTGTTTATCAGTTTAATTTCTAACAAACTGAATTTAAAATAATTTATTCAATAATCTGGATTGAATTTATCCAATAATCTTGTTGGAATTCAGAATATTGGGAATATAAATTTACCATGTGACACTAGTGGACGAAACGCAAACTAAAAAATATGGCTATCGCAAAGGGCGATTTAATATTAATATGGCAATCAGTGTGTTTCTATAAAATAAAAGTGAATAATACATTGAGAAGTATTAGAATAAACAAAAAAATGAAGACACAAGGAAAATAAATAAATTTTTTCACGACTTTTTACCACACATGATAATTAAGCCAGAATTTATTACATTCTGACTTTCAATCATATTTCTTGAAGAGGGTATAGCATTGGTAGCTACACAAAGTATCTAAACGCAGTGACAACATTTGCGTTTTTTTAACAATTTTTAAAACAGTATTCTTATATTTAATATATATTTATATATTTAAATATGAAATCGCCCTTTGCGACAGCCATATTTGTTATGCGACACAAGCGTCCCTCTACCCGCGGTGGTAATTTTTTTTCCCAATTAAACAGACTTTTGAGATTAGATGGACAAAATTTTAGACGACTTAGTACTGGCGAGTTTAGTATTATTAACCAGAAAATTTGGTAAATTAAACAGGAAGAAATTTATCAGATTCATCTGGTAATTCCAACAAGAATTCTGGTTCGTCCATTTTCCAACAGACATACTGGTTGAATCTACCAAAATTCTAATTAATGCAACCAGATTTTTTTCTCAGTGTAGACTCATTATGTCGTATCGTAAATGTCGATACTGTCTGAATTTATTTAAATCTTGGAATGTAAGACATTAATTACATTGAGAAAATAAAGAGCCATTGTAATTTTATAAAATTTTATCTTTCGTTCGTTACTACTCATTTTTCAAAAAGAATGCGAAAATAAGCGTTTGTAAGAAATTAAAATTATTAAATTAAAAAATCAAATTTTAGCGTTTTAACTTCTGATTGTTTTCGTCTGTGTTTCAGATGTGTGACCGGCGAAAACAGGCTTGGTTCGTCGTTTTCATCAGCAGCGTGTTGATGCACACCGTTGTTATCGCCAGTCCGATCTATGTTCCTCAATTTCTACCGGGAAGTAAGTACTTTAGATCGCTTTATTATTCGCGAGAAGAGTGTATCAATAGTTTTCCTTCAGATAGCATCGATAGTTCATGGGGGCCTATCTTCCGGATAGTTTGGAGAGTCTAAAGCGATATTCAATGATCGCAATTTGCTGATTAAAATACCGTTATGTCGTCTTACGGAAATTGAGCCTCCGGCGGATCGATCTCCGATTATAAATAGTTTTTAATTGATCATAATTCTGCGAATATAACCGAAATAAATTCGTTGCACTTCTTCACACGGCTACAAAGCTTCTCAAGACCCGCTATCGATCCAGGACAATATGAAGATGCCGCTTAAAATTACTGCTCTATATTTCTGGCAATATCTGGGAATATAAAGTTCGCATGATATTTTTGCAAGATGTACGATGTTCTTAGATGAAAATCTTGCGCAGTGTGAATATTGCAAATATCAATGTTTATCAAATTCAATTTCATGAAATATTCTATTCTTATAGGAATTTATTTATTTAATAATTTATTTATATCTATTTTTTTACTTATATTTATATTTATATATTATTATATTTATATTTATATTTAGTTATAACATTTATATTTACATTTATGTATTATAGTTATTTTGTATTTATTTATATTTATTTTATATTTATTTATAATTAATTTATCTAATTTATTGTGTACGCAAAGAAAATTAATTCTCCGCCGACATATTTCTCTCAGTCTTCCAAAATTAATATCTCGATACGCGCATTTACAATTGAAAATGTTGATTTTAGATATTGTGGACGCAGCATGCATTTTAAACTGATTCCTACGATATATCAACGTTCGTCTCGCTCTGGCTCTTTCACGCTCGTTGCATTTTCCTCCTGTGTCAGCTGAGTAACGGATCGGTATACAAATACCAGTAACCGGCACAGCAAGGTCCGATCATTTTCTATACGTGTGCGTAAGCGCTTACCTGTCTCTGTCGCGCAGCGACATTGAACCTACCTTGAATTTGTATTCGAACGGAACGTGGGCGGACTGGTCAGTTTTCTGTAGAAGTGGGTCACATACGGTCATCGGGCCACGTGGCTTGCAAAGATTTTTTCCATCATCCGTTTGTTTTTTACGAATACCAAAGCCGCGAACGACGATCTCGTTATATTTTATCGTCATTCCCCTAATTAAAGCTATGTATTGAAACTATCCTCTATAATCCTATGGAATTTTAAGATATTATTCGCACCTTGCGACTAACTCACAATTTCGTGTCTCTACTATACTATTGGGAAAAAAAATTACCACCGCAGGTAGAGGGACGCTCGTGTCGCATAACAAATATGGCTGTCGCAAAGGGCGATTTGACATTTGAGAATACTGTTTTAAAAATTGTCAAGGAAACGCAAATGTTGCCACTGCGTTTAGATACTTTGTGTAGCTATACCAATGCTACACCCTCTTCAAGAAATATGATTGAAGGTCAGAATATAATAAATTCTGGCTTAATTATCATATGCGGTAAAAGTCGTGAAAAAATTTATTTATTTTCCTTGTGTCTTCATTTTTTTCTTTATTCTAATACTTCTCAATGTATTATTCATTTTTATTTCATAAAAACACACTGATTGCCGTATCTAAACAATATTAAATCGCCCTTTGACGGCCATATTTTTTAGTTTGCGTTTCGTCCACTAGTATCGCATGGTAAATTTATATTCCCAATATTCTGAATTCCAACAAGATTATTGAATAAATTCAATCCATATTAAATAAATTATTTTAAATTCAGTTTGTTAGAAATTAAACTGATAAACAATGATGCAAGAAGAGGATGCAGCTCAAACACACACAATCAAAGAGCTAGCATCCTCTTTCTGGCACTACTGCTCGTAAGAGAAAAAAAATACATTGAGTAAAAAATCTGTTGCATTAATTAGAATTCTAGTAGATTCAACCAGTATGTCTGTTGGAAAATGGACGAACTAGAATTCTTGTAGGAATTACCAGATAAATCTGATTAATTTCTTCCTGTTAAATTTATCAAATTTTCTGGTTAATAATACTAAACTTACCAGCACTAAGTCGTCTAAAATTTTTTCTATTTAATCTCAAAAGTCTGTTTAATATTTTAAATTCCAATAAAATTATTGGATAAATTTAATTCAGATTATTAAATAAATTATTTTAAATTCAGTTTGTTAGAAATTAAACTGATAAACAGTGATGCAAAAAGAGGATGCAGCTCAAACACACGCAATCAGAGAGCTAGCATCTTCTTTTTGGCACTACTGCTCGTAAGAAAAAAAAATATACTGAGAAAAATATCTGCTTGCATTAATTAGAATTCTGATAGATTCAACTAGTATGTCTGTTGGAAAATGAACGAACCAGAATTCTTATAGGAATTACCAGATGAATCTGATTAATTTCTTCCTGTTAAATTTATCAAATTTTCTAGTTAATAATATTAAACTTGGCAGCATCAAGTCGTCTAAAATTTTTTCCATTTAATCTCAAAAGTCTGTTTAATATTTTGAATTCCAACATGATTATGGGATAAATTCAATCCAGATTATTGAATAAATTATTTTAAATTCAGTTTGTCAGAAATTAAACTGATAAACAGTAATGCAAGAAGAGGATGCAGCTCAAACACACACAATCAGAGAGCTAGCGTCCTCTTTCTAGCATTATTGCTCGTAAGAGAAAAAAATACTTACTCTAAAAATACTATATACTTTGGATTTCATGTTAATACTAGTTCTTTATATACATTTCATGGCAAATATTGAATACGAGTTAAGTTAAGAGTGGCTTGCTGTCTAGCGGCAAGCAAAGAAATTAATGTAACAAGAAATTTTACAGATCTAACCCAAAAATACTAATACCAAATCCTTATAGTAAAATCTATTAAACGTTGTCTAGTGTCGCATGGTAAATTTATATTCCCAATGATATTAATATGTAAATCACTGTCGATGACAGATCTTTCTTCCATGATTGGCGCGCGAAACTTCCGTTCCTGAATATCAGATAAAGCACTTTCCTGCCATGTGAATCGCGGCACGAGTGAAATTCCTTGCGCAGGATTGCGTGGGTGGCGAGCAACGCATACCTGATGCGAGTATGTGTCGGCTGAAATTCCGTCAGCTGCATAAAGGTGCCGTCAACTTTCTTTCATGCCGATGACTAACTAACGTGTCACTTCCGCTAGCACGCATTCCCAACGCGGAAGGATGACCGGCGCAGGACTTTTTGGGCGAGCGTTCTGACCGACTGACCTGGTAATTCGAATGGCTGGAACCGCAAACCATTTTACGCTTGATTTTCACTCGCTGCGAGAAGCGTCCGCAAAAGAAAGTAAACATTCGCGGAAAAACGACGGCGGTTTAACGGCCCGTCGATTTCTGAAGCGCTGATTCTAACTGTTGGCTTTGACCGTCGTTTATGAATTTGTTTATTGTTGGGCTCGCTAAATCAAATGAAACGAATTAATCGGCAAATTCCATTTGGAATTTTATGGATGGCACTTCGAATCTGTCATCCAAGTGTCACTTCTATTTTCTCTACTCTAGTATTATTTAAGCGAAGCGATTATTAAGAGCGAAGCGTGGCACAATAGACAGCGCACTAGTCTAAAGTCAAAGGCCCCGGGTCCGAGTCCCGGTTGAACCGAAAAATTGTATACGCTCGTTCCTCTCTCGGAAGGCAATGGCAAACCACCGAGAAATCTTGCCAAGAACATCTCTCTAATGTACAGTTCGGAATTTGCATTAAACTGTAGGTCCCATATACGTGTGATCATCTGGTACGCAACGCAGGTGTACGAAAAAGAGAGATCACCATGTTCGGAATCGAACAAAAGGACTAAGGAGAAGTATTATTTAAAGCTGATGTAAATATTACGTAGTATTATTCAACAACGTAAATTCCCGTGTTCATCGCGCTAAACGATCTGTCACTTTCTTTGGCGCGATATACACGGTGTGCCATGGATATTCACGGATTTTCCAAGTGAATGCCGAGAACCCGTTGGTCCATCCAGGCACGTCAGGTCAGGCATGGCCGTTTAATCATGCCAAGCCGGGACACTCTGGAATGCATACGGTGATTTCGTTGGATTGAAGACCCAGGAGGAAGAGGGAAAGACAGAGAGAAAGAAAAAGATGGAGAGGAGGAGATTGTGATGGTGTCTTAGAAGGAAACGGGCTGTTACATTAGGCTACGACTGTGACCCACTTTTGGGTCGGGCAACTAGCTCATACATTGAAACTTAACGGTACCGAGATGCTTCGCTTCGCCTGACATCAATTCGTTCTTCGATGAAATGCGCCATACGCCGTATACGTATTAGCGTTTAGCTTACAATCAGTCGCTTGAAAAGCACGATGCTGTGAAAGAATTCGAATCCTGGGCTTTTACGAGACGACTTACATCGAAATCTTTCATGATGAACCAAGGACGAGTTTCTTCTCTCAACTTTTGTTCGAGTCGTCGTTAATGGATGCTATTTTTCCTTACTTCTTGAGTCATTAATCAATCTTGCAAGTAAAACTATCCCTACGATGTTCATTAGCTACGTGAAGCTTCTATATAATTATAGTAAAAACTTCTTGCTGATATTTTAAAATCCTTCTACTTTTTGAAAGCGTAGATTTTATTTGACGGAGAGCTTCTTTACCTTCCTGCGATGCGCGCTGCTCTTTCACGGCTAACTGTATTGCACGACCGTATGAATCATTGTCAAAGCAGACTCTTGTCATTCCGTTATACGTCTCTGATATTTCCGACATTTTAAATTTACATATGACATCTGTTTGTTTATCCATTTCCCGCTCGGTCGACATAATGCGCTAAAATAGAAGATTCTTGACATCCCAATTAATAATGTATATACGTACGATCTTCCTCTTTCTTTAACAAAAGTACTTCAAAATAATAGAAAGAGCCTCTAAATAATATTATTACAAACTTGTAAACAAAATTACGGAAAACAATACCGATAAAGTACGGTAGCTTTCGTGTGTGGACGGTATATTAATAGGATATTACGGTTATCAGCTCGCGTATTCGGCTGATATTTGCGCTTATCACAATTTCGTCGAGTCGAAGCTATCCGTCATACTTGCGCCGCATTTTCTTTTTGATTCCGTTTCGCAATTATGCGCCGTTTATGCCGTCCCGCGTCTTCCATCATCCACGAGATCGCGGTTGAACGTACGGCAAGACCATTAAGAGAGAATTATAAGCGGATAGGTTGACGATACGAGAGCGAAGTGTTACGGCCGGGAATGTGTATCGTCAAGTGAACAGTTATAGACAACGGGTGAGGGGGTTGATATACACTCTTCGAAGGAGATCAAGGAACACGGAAGCATTTATCTAATCGCCATTGACGGCACGGAGCAAATTTCTCCTCGAGGCATTTTCACGTGCAACGCTTCAATTCGCGTATTCTTCTCCCCGTGATAAAGCGGGCTTTTAATGCTCGCGAGGTAATCTTTCCGAACGGAAGAATTCTATGTCTATCGCCTGAAACAATCGCGTATTGTTAAGAAACAAAGTTGTCCAAATTATTCTTAAAGTCGACGAAGAAAGGAAGAATAAATAAAGAAGAATATTAATCTTATTTACAGGGTATACTCAGGGTAATCTCTTTCCAAAAAAGCTCTTGTAGTTTACCTCGAGAGCTTTCCAAAACACTATAATAAAGTATTTTTTTATCGAGTATTTTTCGAGTTATGGGGCTTAAAATAATTTCTCAATTTGTACATGAACCATAAAATATCTAGTAAAATATTCATTTTTCGATTAGCTTACCTTAAGGATGTTTTGTACCTATTTTTCAAATATTGAGAATTTAATGAAAATTGTACAGGATGTCCTTACATAGTTTAGAATCTTCAGTACAATTTTTAAATCGATTCACTAAAGCGTTTACAAGTTATAAGCATTTTAATTTGCACCGAATTAACATTTGTTCTTATGGGAAACATATAACCACGTCGATTCAAATGACAAAAACACATGGGAATAATATTCAGAATTTGTTTAAAATTTGTTTAAAAAGTTTAGATACAGAGGAAATATTTGGTCAAATAATATTATACAAGTACTAACTGGTTAAAAAGATATTAAATATAATTCAATGAAGTTAGCCATGTATCTGTCACAAGGCGAAATTCTCTGCCAAAAGTTAATCATTTCGATTAACAAAATTCGGAATATTTCAGTAAAAACGCAATAAATATTAAAAAATACATCTCTGCACTGTACACTGTAAAAAACTTTGTGTAAATTTACAACTATTAAAGTGGGTAATATTGAGACCAACTATTAAAGGTGTATATTTACATACATTATTAAATTTATATTTCATAGATAAAATTATTATCTTAAATGGTAAGTAAGCATCTTGTACCAATAAATTTACATGTTAGAAGTAGATTTCTAGAAATGTTTATGTAATAATACATTTTGTATATGTATTTATACAATTTCACATATTAAATTTAATTTAAAATTACATACATAATTAATGTAACAATTACGCTATTTATAACAAAAATATATAAATTCATGTATTTTTACAAAAATTAGTTATTTTACTACTCTTTATTGTGTAAATATTCGTTTATATTTGATAAGAAATTACAAGGTTAAAAGTATAATTTTAAAATTTTAATATAAATATTACAAAAAATTGTACATTTACATAAAATCCAAAAATTACACTTTTAATCTTGTAATTTCTTATCAAATATAAACGAATATTTACACAACAAAGAGTAAAATAACTAATTTTTGTAAAAGTACATGAATTTATATATTTCTGTTATAAATAGCATAATTGTTACATTGATTATATGTGTAATTTTATATACTTTTTTTACAGTGTAGCTAAGATCAAATTGTAATATTCCACACAATTTCTCATATTCAAAATATTATACATCAAAAGTGGATATATTCATCAATATGATTTTCAGCTACTTTTTTCTGAGATTATACATACAAAACATCCTTAATGCTCGCGTGTAATCTTCCCGAACGGAAGAATTCTATGTCTATCGCCTGAAACAATCGCGTATTGTTATGAAACAAAGTTCCAGTGAATTATTCTTAAAGTCGACGAAGAAAGGAAGAATAAATAAAGAAGAATACTAATATTATTTACATGGTATCAGGGTAATATCTTCCCAAAAAAAGCTCTTGTAGTTTACCTCGAGAGCTTTTCAAAACACTATAATAAAGTATTTTTTCATCGAGTACTTTTCGAGTTATGAGGCTTGAAATAATTTCTCAATTTTTACATAAACCATAAAATATCTAGTAAAATATTCATTTTTCGATCATCTTACCTTAATACTTTCATATATAAAATAATGAAAGGAATCAATAGGTGTAAAGAAAACACATAATTGTTTCAGAAAAAAAATATGTAATGATTAATTGCAAATTATATCTTTTGCGAGAATATAAATCAAGAATTCTAAAAATATGTAGAAACTAAGAGGAGTCGTTATATAAAAAATCAACTTTTAATAGCAATATATTAATAGCAATATATTTAATAGCAATATAAGGATATACTCTCTTATCTAATTAATACTCTCTTATCTCGTATTGCATCGAGAAGTACTGAGGAATGAGGAATGCTGATCAGAGGATTCTGATCAGTTTGTCGTAGAGACAAACACGAGAAACATAATGACAATCGTTCTTTTTCTTCTTCCACTTTGCAGGCACGGGCAGAAACATCAGGCACTTGCCCTGCGTGTCACGCAGGAGTGGCGAGACCGGCGTGTGTATGTTTGCGTTTACCTGCGCGAAGGCTAATGGCACGCATCTCGGCACCTGCATCGATCGCTTCTACTTCGGTAGCTGCTGCAAGATCGACGACGAGCCGGACATCTTCCCGCAGGACAATAGCATCGACGACGGGCCGCCGGCGCCGCCGCCAAGGCCGTTCATCACGACTCGCAAGCCCATCCCGAGCAACAGCATCCCGGAGTACTTTGCGAGACCAAAGCCGACAGATGAGAGGAAACCAACAGAGGCTCCTCAAACCACGGCAAGTAGACGTAGCGATTGCTAATGAAGCAGCTAGACGGCCTCGCTACGTGTCAGCGAGATGAGTAGTATGACAGCTTGAAATTGTTAGAGGCGAATCGATGGAATCGAAGTAACGTCTCTCGAGAATAATATATAATTGTTCTGTCAAGTCATCCCTGCGGAGTTAATATTAGATAAAATAGACTGATAATGAATAATTCGTACATTCTTCTCGATGACGCTTGATTTGAATCGTGCTCATATATTTTTTAGGATGGGAAATCGATTTGCAATTTAATTTAATTATGTAGAAAATTTGGTTTAACATTTTTTTAAAAAAACGAATATATAACGGTGAGAATACAATTTGAATTACAATACGTAGAACGTGAGACATCATGTTTCCTCATCTCTCATTCAGATATTATAATAACTTTCTCTGCGTGAGATCATCGAGATAAACGTAGTAACTCACGTAATCTTGCAATCGATTCATATATTCAAGAAAGAAAGTTACTCATTAAAATGCTTGATCATCAGTATACATGTAGCAAAATATATGTATGAATTTAACATACACAAATTTTACAATTTTTGAATCACTCAACATACGTTAAGTTTTATTTCCTCTTACTCAGAAATGCTGTAAAAAATTAATTAAATTATAAAAAATACAAATTAACTTTATCAGATAATCAGCTCTTGAGGATGTCGCTTTTTTAAAGATACACTGAGAAAAAAATCTGGTTGCATTAATTAGAATTCTTATAGATAGATTCAACCAGTATGTTTGTTGAAAATGGACGACCCAGAATTATTGTATAGGAATCATCAGATGAATCTCATTAATTTCTTCTTGTTAAATTTACTAAAATTTCTGCTTAATAATATTAAACTCGCCAGCACCAAATCGTCTAAAATTTTTTACATCTAATCTCAAAAGTCTGTTTAATTGGGAAAAAAATACCACCGCGGGTAGAGGAACGCTCGTGTCGCATAACAAATATGGCTGTCGCAAAGAGCGATTTGACATTTAAAAATACTGTTTTAAAAATTGTTAAGAAAACGCAAATGTTGTCACTGCGTTTAGATACTTTGTGTAGCTATACCAATGCTACACCCTCTTCAAGAAATATGATTGAAGGCCAGAATGTAATAAATTTTGGCTTAATTATCATGTGCGGTAAAAAGTCGTGAAAAAATTTATTTATTTTCCTTGTGTCTTCATTTTTTTCTTTATTCTAATACTTCTTAATGTATTATTCACTTTTATTTTATAGAAACACACTAATTGCCGTATCTAAACAATATTAAATCGCCCTTTGCGACGGCCATATTTTTTAGTTTGCGTTTCGTCCACTAGTGTCGCATGGTAAATTTATATTCCCAATATTCTAAATTCCACCAAGATTATTGAATAAATTCAATTCAGATTATTGAATAAATTATTTTAAATTCAGTTTGTTAGAAATTAAATTGATAAACAGTGATGCAAGAAGAGGATGCAGCTCAAACACACACAATCAGAGAGCTAGCGTCCTCTTTCTGACACTACTGCTCGTAAGAGAAAACAAATATACTTTGGATTTAATGTTAATACTAGTTCTTTGTATATATTTTATGATAAATATTGAATACGAGTTAAGTTAAGAGTGGCTTGCAAAGAAATTAATGTAAGAAATTTTATAGATCCAACCAGAAAATACTAATCAAATTCTTATAGTTAAATCTATTAAACGTTCTACTTATAAAAAATCGAGTCTTATCATGGTAACTAGAAATTCTTGTTTGATTTAACCAAAATGCCTTCAATCATATACATCTTGTTGGTACAATCAAACAATTTTTCTCAGTGTAGTGTAAAAATAATATTGCATACTGTCCAGATTAATTATCAATAATTTTAATGTATCGATAATTTTATAGACAACACCTGTAATCTCGAGTACGCAAAGCACGCAAACTTTAGCGAGTACATTGAGGAACGCGACAAAATTGCCGACGAAAAAGCCAGTAATCACGACGGTCGAAATGACTACGCAGACTACTCGTCTCACCACGTTCCAAACCGTGCAAAGCGCTGGAAGCTCGTCCAGCACGGAAGCTGCGTTGTCGAAGAGCACCGCTAGTACAGTAACTAGACCGGCAAGTATATCCCCAAGCACGACGAGGCAACCTACGAAACCGTACACTTCGACTTCCACTCTGCGGCCCAGCAGCGAAGATGCAACGAGGCTGGCGATCACCACGACGGTTTCGAAAGCGACCACGAAGAAACCTGCCGTCTCCACGACAACGGTGCAGAAACCGACGACGCAGACCTCTCGGAAGCCAGTGGCTTCGACCACTCGCAGACCGATCCCTCAATCGACTACGTCGAAGAATGTCCTCACGACTACGCAGCAAGTGGTACCTTCGACCAGATTCCCGCCGAGGAACACGACGTCGCCCAAACCGTTGACTCAGACACCTATCAAAAAGCCCGTTAGCACTGTTCACAGTACCAAGAGACCTGCCACCACGATTGTCACCGTGGCAACGAAACGTCCGGTGACGACCACGAAGAGACCTACTACTCTGACGAAGATACCATTGAGTTCTTCGAGGCCTCTCGTGAATTCCAGTCTTGGTACCTCTACTGTACCAGTGACGAGTAGACCTCTCTCGACCTCCGGTTCCTTCAGCAACATCGGATCATCTAACATAAGCATCACGGAGAGTACTTTAGCCTCCGTTGGAACCAGACCGTCGACCATCACAACATCAACAGCTACAAGCGCAAGCAGTCCAAAGATTTCCACTACGACGAAAATCCCGGATCAAACTATCGCGAAAACAACAACTCCGAGGACGACGCTGAAGACGACAACATCGACGAAAACATCGACCATCAAGACAAGCAAACCGACGACAACTAAAACAACGACTCATAAAACGACGACGACGTCCATACCATCGCTTTCGACTACGACCAGACCGAAACCTATTAAAATTACCAGCGCAACAACTAAGACTACTACTAGACCTGAACATGAAAATAACACCACGACGACTACAGAGAGGACGAAGCCATCGTTGTCGTCGATCATTGGATCGACGGTCAATGTTACAAGGCCTAAACCCACCACGACAAAACCAGTGACTACACCTTTGGTGAAGATTCCTGTAAATATGTCATCCAGCATTGTAGAAGTCACCACGAGTATCTCGAGTTCGATATCCACGTTTACCGTTAAGAACGAAAGCACCTCGACCTATGTGCCTCCTACCAAGGGTCAGAATGTTAATCACACCCTCGAGGAGATCCCGTTGACTACCTATTCCCCAGGCTTAGTGACGTGGAGTTCGAATTCTGATGAAGTTACCGTAAAGACGCCGGAGACATCCTCGTCAACGTCGACAGAGGCCACATCATCAGGTTAGTAAAATAAATGTCATCGAATTTTCTTTTGGTAATTGTGATGTAAGAGTTTTTAAATTTAATTATTAATTTAAATAAATTTTTTAATTATTAAATTATAAATTTTCATTTTCATTTATATTTATATTTAATTTTAAATTGTTAATTTTAATTTTAATTATTAAATTATTAATTTGAATAATTAATTTAATATATAATTATAATATTTATTAATTTATATTTATATTTAATAAATATAAATTAATAAATATTTATATTTATATTTAATAAATATAAATTAATAAATATTATAATTTTTATTAATTAAAATATAAATTTTATAATTATAATATTTATTAATTTATATTTATATTTAATTTTAAATTATTAATTTTAATTTTAATTATTAAATTATTAATTTGAATAATTAATTTAATATATTATTATAATATTTATGAATTAATCTTAAGATTAATTGTTGTATTCTTCTACGTTACTTCTCGCAAATATTTAAAAGAGAAAAATTTTGAATTTTTTAACTATTTATCATATCATCAATCGGAAGAGAAAGGCGAAAGCAATTATTATTTTACTAGCAATCCGTCAAACTTACCGAGCTTTCGCTATTCTCAACGTTTGATGCATGCGGCGTTCCAGGTGAATCGCTATCATTTTCTATTGATAAGGGCATAGCATTACACAATGAACGTTCGTTTTCTTCGTTTTCACCGGTTTTAACATACAGACGCAGAACGAATAAGGCTGCTAATCACGTTTCCAATAATTCTTCGAAGGTAGTGATCGACGAAGGGAACGTATTTAAAATTCACAATCGCGCATCGCTGAGTGTAATGAAGACATCAATGACAAAAATTTATTACAGGATAAATGATTAAGCAAAGATTCATATTATTTATGATTTTACGCAAAAAATAAGACTAACTTATAAAATTCTATAAATATATGATTTTGCATCAAAAGGTTTTCATGAACTTGGTCCATTTTTGCTCTGAACATGACTCATACATTCTGCTTATTTCGAGATTATAAAACGAAATTCACATCTCTTTCTCTTCCGGATTTTAATATCGCGTTTATAACGCAAAAGGGTTTAATCTGCTTCCAAAATTCACGTTTTTTTATGAGGTCAATGATTCGGCGTAATCTGTTTCAACCGGTTCTCCTCGAATGTCGCTGGCCACGTGTCAAGTCCAAGAGAAACGGACACACGTCCTTAAATGGTATAATTGCAACTCGGTAATTGCATATAGAGCGCGAAACTAGAATACATCGAGATGCATAAGCAGATAATCCATCATATATTTATTTTTTTTTATAGTTCTCTGTTCAACTGCGAATATTTTGTTCTGCTTTAACAAGTCGAGTTTACCAAAGTCGAAATTTTTCTCCTATTTTCAATCTTAATTTTCTCATGAAACCTAGAGATTTTCGCAATTGATTTAATTTATACAGAAATTAAGCTTGTATTTTATATAGGCTGTAAACGAATAATTCCGATTTAGAAGAATTTTCGACAAGGTTATAAAATTATCTAATTATTTAAAATATGAAAATAAGTATTAAAATGAAAATTGAGTTAAAAAATAGCAGAAAAATTTTAACTAATATTATAGATTCAAGGTTATTATAGAATCAAGGTTACTTAGATCCTGAAAGAGGATCACGCCGTTGCTTCGACAACACGGCGTTATGATATACCATTGGGAACGTCGTAACGGTTTACAAACCGGCCATCTCTTGAGTTCTCCGCCGACGCGATCATAATCACCTTCTTTACGTATCTCTATCCACCTCATCGTGCAAGCGAGAATTATCTTCTAATAACTATGCTCCGCTTCGCTACCTCGCGGAAAGAGATGAAGAAAGAGAAAACTCGCTCTCCTCTCGACCATCCCAAATCGGAGAATCAAACCGGTTCGCGCTGCCTCAAATTAACATAACATATCTGCTCGAAACTAAGGCATTCTGAGAAACGAATGTTCACGGATTGAAAACAGAATTTATCAGTGTATTTCTTTTTGTACCCACACTGAGAAAAAAATCTGGTTGCATTAATTAGAGTTCTGGTAGATTCAACCAGTCTGTATGTCTGTTGGAAAATGGACGAACCAGAATTCTTGTAGGAATTACCAGATGAATCTAATTAATTTCTTCCTGTTAAATTTATCAAATTTTCTGGTTAATAATACTAAACTCGCCAGCATCAAGTCGTCTAAAATTTTGTCCATCTAATCTCAAAAGTCTGTTTAATTGGGAAAAAAAATTACCACCGCGGGTAGGGGGACGCTCGTGTCGCATAACAAATATGGCTGTCGCAAAGGGCGATTTGACATTTAAGAATACTGTTTTAAAAATTGTTAAGAAAACGCAAATGTTGTCACTGCGTTTAGATACTTTGTGTAGCTATACCAATGCTACACCCTCTTCAAGAAATATGATTGAAGGCCAGAATGTAATAAATTCTAGCTTAATTATCATGTGCGGTAAAAAGTCGTGAAAAAATTTATTTATTTTCCTTGTGTCTTCATTTTTTTCTTTATTCTAATACTTCTTAATGTATTATTTACTCCTATTTGATAGAAACACACTGATTGCCGTATCTAAACAATATTAAATCGCCCTTTGCGACGGCCATATTTTTTAGTTTGCGTTTCGTCCACTAGTGTCGCATGGTAAATTTATATTCCCAATATTCTGAATTCCAACAAGATTATTGAATAAATTCAATCCAGATTATTGAATAAATTATTTTAAATTCAATTTGTTAGAAATTAAACTGATAAACAGTGATGCAAAAAGAGGATGCAGCTCAAACACATAAAATTAGAAAGCTAGCGTCCTCTTTCTGGCACTACTGTTCGTAAGAGAAAAAAAAATATACTTTGGATTTAATGTTAATACTAGTTCTTTGTATACATTTCATGGCAAATATTGAATACGAGTTAAGTTAAGAAGCAAGCAAAGAAATTTATGTAACAAGAAATTTTATAGATCCAACCAAAAAATACTAATCAAATCCTTATAGTAAAATCTATCAAACGTTCTAGTTATAAAAAATCGAGTCTTATCATGGTAACTAGAAATTCTTGTTTTATTTAACCAAAATGCTTTCAATCATATACGTCTTGTTGGTACAATCAATCGATTTTTCTCAGTCACCTCAAGCTTGTGGCCAAACTTGAAATCAATTTATTTTCGAATGAATTATTTTTATCGCAATGAATAATCTCCAATCTTGTTCCTTAGATGTAACGAGAACTCTTTAGTTTGTAAATTCACGATGAATTAAAATACAATTAGACTCTATTTTGTCTATTCGCTTCGCAGAGCAAGCGGAAACTGATTGGTCCCCGATAACGACTCCGGACGGCTGGATAATGATTCAATCGCCCTCCACCGAAAAATTACCGCAGACTCAGGAGTCGACGACCGAACCGGTTGCGGAATCCACTGTACAGTCTTTGACTTCTGGTAAGATATATTAATTGTAGCCTTTGCGAGCGTTCTCCGCGAAGTTTGCTTGCAATTGAAGAAATTTCAAGAGTTGGCGTAATCGCGCAAACAAACAACAACTTGGAGGAAATATCTTCCAATTCATACTAAAGAAATCAACTGAAAGTTCTCGTTGGATTTTAGTATTAAGAACAAATTTATACTTGATAAAATCTTCACAACTTCTTAAAATAATGTATAATATAATATATATATTTTTAAAAAATATATATTAGAAAAAACGCTACGATAAAAATATTGTTCTTACAATTTATTAATTATAATGATTAATTTTTAAATACTTTGTTTCTTTTTAGCCAAACCGTTAATAGAGACTACCAGCAGTCCCGACATCACGACGAAACCGATGATGACCACTTTGCCTTCAGCGATTACCGGTATTACGATCGACACGGAGCTTCCGGTACCGATGGAGACTCTCAATATGTCGGACTACAAACAAGGTTAATGCTTAAATACTGTACGGTCGGATCGCGATGTAATGTTACAGCATACACGCGTTATGCAGAAGCGAATACAAGAAATTGGATCGTTCCCACACTGGGTGACCGGAACGAATCGTTATACTAGAACTAGTCTCGGGATTAAAAACAAAATAACCGGTGAAATGCGGAACCGCATTCGGGTCACTGTCGGAATTCGCGTTATTCCGTTCGATTTTGCCCCAGTTAAACTTTAAAGATGATCCGACGTCTTCATCTTCCTCTCGCAATATCCGACTTTTTGCTCGATGAGGAGGACAACTTGTCAAACCTGAGAGAGCGATTGCATTTTATAAAATTCTGCTGAGAGTGAAATATTTAGTATCGAATTTTTCAACTATCCTGTTTATAAAATGTATTGATACTACACTGAAAAAAAAGTAATGTTGAATTAACAACATCAGTGTAATTGGAATTTATTTTATTAATTCAATAATATCATTAATCCAATCAATACATGGTATATTGATTAAAAATATTATTAAATTAATAAAATAAATTCCAATTACACCGATGTTGTTAATTCAACACTTTTTACTTTTTTTCAACACTTTTTACCTTTTTTTCAGTGAAAAATATTATTAAATTAATAAAATAAATTTCAATTACACTGATGTTGTTAATTCAACACTTTTTACTTTTTTTCAACACTTTTTACTTTTTTTTCAGTGTACAATGTACAGTTACAAGTTTTCAAATCTGCATTCAATTCCGCTGTTTCTCACCTACATTCATCGCCATATTTCGCGAATCAATCCATTTTTAACCGCTCTATAACTTTTATTATTTATATTTTACTTAAGTAGTTAAAATTACATAGAATAAACGCTATAATTTACAAGCTAACGTATACTTTAGCACTTTTTATATCATTACATCTAAGTTGCCTGCCATCGCTGCTAGTGCAGTTTAATTTAAATAATGATGCGGCGTACAGTCATGAATAAAATTCAAAACACGTGTAATTTCCCGTAATTAATGTGATATGCGCAATTGAACGTTGCAAATGTTACGCACATAATATTGTCGATACGAAAGTCCCAATTCCGCCTGCGGGTAGAGACTAAAGAATTAAATGAGCGATGCATCCGCGCAACGGTACCGTCGTTTATCCAGTCGAACGAACACAGCCCGTCCGTTCTTCAACATGACCGTCCAACTCGCGAATTTACTGAAGGGTATGAACTCGACGATGTTTATCCTTGCAGTGTGCGGACGAAGGCTGTTTCCGGAGGCCAGAATAGTCGGCGGTGACCAAAGCTCCTTCGGAAAGTGGCCCTGGCAGGTGAGCATGAAAAAAGTGGCACGCAATTTAAAAATTTCCTATTTTTTGCACAGATACTCCAAACGAGAGATAGGATTTTTTTACAATTTTATCTATATATTCTTACATTTAAATATTAATAAAAAAAAATATATAAAAAATTCGGATCGAAAGCCATCGTCTGAAAATCGTAGTGATTGATTTTTTTTAAATATACTCTCTAAAAGTGAATCAGTGAAAATATCACTAATGTAAACAGTAAAATAAGATTTCACTGATCTTCAGTGGAACCGCTTATTTTTTTGTTATTTTATCTTATATCTCACTGATTATGGTCAGTTAAAATAAAATTCACTGTAAAATCAGTAAATTTTACTGTAAAACCAGTAATCGCTAGTTCGTTCATTTATCGCTACAATCGCTATCTCTCTCGTATTTAATTTTAGTTATAAGAATTATATAAAGTTTGCAAAGAGCGACATTTAAAATTAGAAGTATTACTTCGATTTAATTTCTGATACAAGCTCAATAGAGAGGCTTCAGATATTAAATCGATCTTTATAAGTCGCACAAATAAATGTCTGACAACTTAATGAAAATTATTTGTTCGTTATCTATTTAAAATAACAAGTTCAATATGCATGTAATATAAATAAAATAAAATTTTTAATATAATAAATATTTAGTAAATATAAATAAAATTTTTAATTTTATATGAAATAGATAAAGAGATGAATTATAGTTAAATATTACTGACAATAACGAAAGAAATATTACTGATATTGAGAAATATTACTGATTGAAACAGTCAAAATTATTAATTGATTCTTTCAATAAATATCAAAAATATCACTGATTTACAGTGCTGTATTTATAACTGCTGTAATCAGTGACTATTTACTGTTTTTCAGTGATAATACACTGATTCACTTTTAGAGAGTACAGAAGAAGGTAATGATAATGCTGGTAGTAGAACGTCTTCCACGACGAAAATAATAATCACTCACGCGTATTGTGTATAAGAATTAATGCGTAGATCGACGAGTCTCTCATATTGGCAGATTTCCTTGCAGATCTCGTTGCGTCAATGGCGATCGCAAACGTATCTGCACAAATGCGGCGCCGCATTGTTGAATGAGAACTGGGCTATTACCGCGGCGCACTGCGTCGAAAGGTAAGTGTACATCGTGTTTGCTGGTACGATGCCCATAATCCAATTTTTTCCCCGCTCTCATGTTGACCAGCCATTTTTCCCAGGACGTTTCTCGAGACTTTTCGCGTGTCTGTAGATCTCTTCGCGCGATGAAAAAAGATTGTTTCCTTGTCCATATATTTTCTCATCTAACGCATTTGAAAGGCGGAGAATAAAGATAAAGATTATCATAAATTATAATAAAGATTATCACCATGATAATGATTATCATGGATTTCTGCATCGTAAAAAAGCTTTGCATCGTTTATCAGGAATCAGAATTACAAAATTCTTTCTACACACTTCGATATTATTGCACGTTATACATATGTTTTTTAGAATTTGAGAATTTCTAACATTACAATTTTTAATATACGTTTAATAGGTTATTTCAATAAAAGATATTATAAAGCAGGTAAAAATAATTATACACATTCCTATAACATTTTTTCTATGATGCATCTTTTATCATTATCATTTATTTTCCATCAATCAAATGTGTTTTTTTTTTTAAACAGTTAGTTTTGATGAAATAAAACAGGAGTATGCTGTTTTTAAAAAAAGATGTAGGAAAAATTTTTAAAAATATATTTCTAAATATATATACATATATAAGTAATATCAAGAAATCTGCCACGCTATTTTAAAAATCTTTATTAAACATAAAAATACTTATTATAAATCATTGAATCTACAGAATGATAAGAAATAATTTACGTAGTTATTTTTACTTCCTCTACATGTCCACGAAAGATTGCTTACCTTTATTGAAATATACTGATATCCTTTATAAATATCCTTATATCTTTTATAAATATCCTTTATTGAAATAACCTATTAAACGTACATTAAAAATTTTAATCTTAGAAATTCTTGAATTTTATAAACACATGTATAACGTGCGATAGCATCGAAGTGTGTAGAAAGAAAAATGCTTCTCAAATTTTAAGACAAATGTCTCGAAAAAGAAATGCATTGCTGTAGAAAAATATTAATTTGTGGGATTATTTTTATCCGCTTTATTTTATCATTCCATGAGAAATTATCCATTTTTATCTAAACACTTTGTATACTTATATTATTACTTATACACTGAGCAGAAAATTATCTTGAAATAAAAATATTTTAGTTAACTCAAGAAAGCTATTTATTCGGTGGGTATTAATCACGTATTTACTTGTATTCAAAACGTCTGTTTGCTTAAGTTAATTTATTTACATATGTTTAAAAAATATATATGCTTAAAAAAATATAATTTTTAATTAAATATTTTTATATTTTAATTTTACAAAATATTTATTAAAATGCATTTTTTATTCCCAAAAATTTTAAATTTTTTAATTTTAAAAAATAATATATTTAATTTAATAAATTATAGTATATATTTTACGAAAATAGTATTTAAAAATATGTAAATGAAAATGATATACATAATATAACATCCATATTTAATTAAAATTAAATGCATTTGCTTAAATGAAATAAACAATTCCTTCCATTTAAAGCAAAAGTTTTAAGAAAACATATTTATTTGATTTAAAAAAATTTTTCCCTCAGTGTATTACTCATATTATTTAAAATATAACGCGAGATTACTAATAGTATTTTATCTCTGGATAGAGAAGTTTATTTTCTGAAGAATTAATGGCAGAATGTGTGTTTTGCAGTGTACTACCTGCCGATCTGTTATTAAGAATCGGCGAACACGATCTGGCGAACGAGGACGAACCATACGGATATCAAGAAAGAAGAGTACAAATCGTAGCGACTCATCCACAATTCGATGCGCGGACTTTTGAATATGATCTCGCCCTTCTGAGATTCTACGAGCCTCTTATACCCTTCCAACCGAACGTCTTGCCGATCTGTTTGCCCGACGATGATGAGACTTACGTTGGTCGCACCGCCTATGTTACTGGCTGGGGCAGACTTTACGATGGTACTTGTACATTTAAATAATTAACATGTGTGCTAATTGTGACGTTAACATTAAAATTGAAAATTTTTTGATTACTTTAAAAGCAATTTTTTATTGGGAGTCATATCAATTTTTTCTTCGTCAAAATACGCAAATGCTTGAAAATGTTATTTTCTATTTTTTTGTAGAGGGACCACTGCCATCCGTATTACAGCAAGTTGCAGTACCAGTCATTAATAACTCTGTATGCGAAGCGATGTACAGAAACGCGGGTTACATCGAGCACATTCCGCACATTTTTATCTGCGCCGGTTGGAGAAACGGTGGATTTGACTCTTGCGAGGTCAGTATTCTTTGCTTTACATAGATTTAGCAAAAATAGATGGTTTTAAAATAACTATAAAATTCTTTTTGTTTTTTAAGAAATAAAGAATTAAAGAGTTTAAAAAGAAATGAAGAATTTGCTGAATATTTAAACCGTGTAAATTCTTTTATAAAAGTTTAAAAGTAATGTTGAATATATAAGAGTAGCATCAAATCTCCTTTTAAATATTCTCTTGTAAAATAAAATTATATTCTTCGATCTTTTCCTTAAGAATCACTCGTTCGATTGATTTTATTTTTCAAATCAATATATGATCATACGATTTAAGTCGTAATTTTATAAAAAATTACAAACGATTAAAGGGATCCAAAAATATTGATTTTATTTAAACTAAATAAAAAGATTAAAATTTTGAAAAAACATACTCAGCAAAAAGTGTCGATAAAATTCTAAGCATATGAATAAGAAAATAACTGTTAACATAATGATGAAAATAAAAAACATGAAGATTAGTGACGTATGATTCCACACTGTACTCTTTATTTTAAAAATTTACCAATCATGTTCTCAATCAAATTTTTTGATTAAAAGATTTATAATAGAAATTATATAAGAGAGAGTATAATGCATATTTACATATTATTTTTTACATATACAGGGTGTTCCTAAATTCGCGATAAATATTTTAATGACAAATTCTTTGTAACATTTTAAGATGAAAAGTCTAATACGAAAATGTCGAGGCTATAATAATTTTCATATGACAAAATGGCTAATGATAAAGGTGCTTTCATGAATCGAATACTTTTGACATTGAAATTATTGTGAAAATATTCAAGAATTTCATAGCCTCGACATAGAATTTTATAGCCTCTCATTTTTTTATAGCCTGATGAAAATGTTACAAAGAATTTGTTATTAAAATATTTATCGCGAATTTAGGAACACCCTATACATATTACCACATTATATATATTACCTATATATATTACCACAAAAATTTTGTTAAAACATATCTCTGGAGATTACAACTTTCAGATAAGTTTGACATCTTTCTTTTTTTTGACATCTATCTTTGATATCTCTCAGACACACGTGACAATTGCCTGAGAGACTTACATTATTGTCATGAAAGCTCGTAGCTATACTAACGTAGTCAGTGTTTGCTGTAGATAATTTCAAAATTATCTAGATAAAGATAAAGATAAAAATCCGTAAATTTATCTTAGATGAGATAGAGATTATTTTGCTTTTACTTAATCTAGATGAAAAATAAGATAATTATTGATAATCTAGAGAATTATCCAGATATTTTTGTTTATTTTATAAAACTATAAATATTTGTAAAAAATGTGACGCAGATTATAAATGGGATATTAAAATCGTAAACACATATTCTTTCTTTTTTCCTAAAGAATATTTAAATAATAACAAAAAAGTATATAAATGATATGATAAATATTTATTTATTAATTTATATTTATAATATATTTATAATATATTTATAATATAATAATCAATGTGTAACAATACATATATCATTTTTATAAAATATATATTAATGCATTGCACAAATTTAAATAAAACAAGTACAAGATAAAGTATATTTATAATATTATTTTCCAAATAAAAAATATATTTTAGATATTTTAGATAGATTTTTAGAAGCTTGCCTGGAAAAAACTCTTTTGCATAATGAAAACGTCATCTTAGACAATTTTTAGATAAGATGACATATATTTTTTACCTAAGAAAAAGATAAAGATACTTTGTATTTCTTCATCTAGTTAAAGATAAAGACGATCCATTTCTTTATCTAGATAATTATCTAGATAGTTTTATCTAGATACCAACAAACATTAAACATAGCTCATAGCTATAATAACGTATATTCTAGAACCTTTTGCTCTCTCTCTAGGGCGACAGCGGTGGTCCGATGGTCATCCAAAGAGCGCGGGACAAGCGGTGGATCCTTGCTGGGATCATCAGCTGGGGAATCGGTTGCGCTGCGCCCAATCAACCAGGAGTTTACACGCGCATCTCGGAGTTTCGCGAGTGGATCAATCAGATCCTTCAGTTCTGAACTCATCGTTGGAAGCTCGAAATTCGCGCTCTCGCGCCGACTCCCTCGGACACTCGGAACGACCGTTGTGCGGACAAATGGCACCATCTGCCGGAGCTGTGAGCCAAGTGTAATTTAGTGCAAAAAGGGGAAGAACAGAAATAAGAGATCCCCAGCGTGTTGCGAAACCGGACGACGTATGGCGCCACCGATTCGAATTTCTCGCGAATAAAACTCTTCGAAACTCTAATTGAGGACTATTCTTGAAGAGGCAATTACGAATGCGAGTTCGGAATCTGGCGAAGGCATGAATTTAAAAACAATAATGCAAAATACGCCGAGCGCATTGAGCGGGAAAAGTGAAAGAACATTTGTAGAAAGACGAAATCTAAGTCTTTTTTTTAAATCTTAATAATGAAATTAGAAATGAAATTGACGAAAAGATTTTATATCCTCTTCATCATATATGTCAGACTTCTCCCGAATAAAAATTCGACGACAAGTTTACTCTGTGAAGAAACAGAAAATGAAACCGCTGTTTGCGCTTTATTTAGAATTTACAGCCTTTGGCTGCAAATGGACAAAGAATGAAATTTAATGAACTTTGTATCTTTTAGTCCTCTAAATATATATTTCAGATATAGAAAAATTGCAACATCTACGCAGGATCTACAATCCGTATATATGAGTATCTTAACTCCTGCCTATTTATTTATATCGTGCAATTTCTATATCAGAAAATATCCCTAAATTACTGGAGAAAAATTCGATTTTACATTTATCAAACTATCTAGATTTCATTCGATTATTTTAGAACGCTTTTATAAATACATTATTTATTAATTGTGTTGTATTTATTAATAAATAATGTATAACACTGGTCAACATTCAAATTTTTTCCTGACATTTAACATGTATTATAGGTTATATCTAAGCTCTACTTTTTTTATTTATAAGATATTACAATTATATCGATTATCGATATTTTTGAAAGATGTACTCGCCACAAATATAACAAAAACTATCTGGATTATGTAAACAATGTCTCCAAGTCGAAGACATATCGAAAGTTAAAAAAATAATAATTTTTTGAGTCGAGTAAAAGTCAAAAAAACTGCACGTCGTGATGTCTAAAGGGGGTAGTCTAAAAATATTAAAAAACAAGAGCTGTTAAAAAAAACTACTGTCGTACTCGAAATCAGCACACTTAAAACCCAAAACTGCAAAATTATGAGAGGAAAAAGTTAAAATTATTTTTTTTGTTGACCAGTGTAATAATAGGGTAAAATATATTTGAATCATTACTACGATTTAAAATTCCATACTGCATCATTCCCATGCATTTCCTCTCTCTCTCTCTCTCTCTCTCTCTCTCTCTCTCTCTCTCTCTCTTGTAAACCTTATTATAGATTTCCATAATAATTTTCCGAATGAATTCCGATGAGAATTTTAATGCATTCGTCGAAGTTCCATGAATATCCAGTTATCTCGATTGATCCTCGGAAGAACCGTAGGAAAATGCATTTCCCTTTCGCGAATTCCGTCTCTCTTTCTCTTTCGCTCTACAATGAGTACCTCACTTCGTAGTTACTTGAGTCTAGTCTCAAGCAGAAACGAACTGATAATTCTACGATGAAGGTAAAAAAAATGTACTCATTAATCTCAAGTTCGTGAACGATCGAGTAATCGTCATGTACATTTCAATCTTAAAAATCGATGAAATTAATTCGACGTAATTATAAGTTTGACTGTAAAATCGAGAGCGAAAAGAGAATAAGCGCATCTGTATCGCGATATGTGGAGAGATATTATTTAATTTAATTTATAAAGAAAAATAAAGCTATAGGAAGAATATAGAAGATATAGAAGATTATATTACGTATACTTTACATATAGACAACGAGACAAATACGCGCGTGTAATTTATTCGCGCGTTCGTTCCAGAGATGCGATTTATATAGACATATTTTGTAGCATATTTTTAAATAATATTTGTCAACATTTTAATTATTCAAAAACATTCATCGCCCACGATCACGTCAACAGTTTAATGGGATTCTACGTATGCACCGATTATACTCGAAATGTATAAAATTATATCGTTCGCGTTGCGTTGTTTTTCACTAATTAAAATGTATCGACAAACGTGCGAGTGCGCAATCGGAATAACACGATTTTGATACATCTGTAAATACTTGATATCGATCGTGAATTGAAATGTAATGTGATGTGGTTTCATGTGCGGTATGATGCGGTTTCATGTGCGCGACGGGCTCCTTCCGCTTTTCATCCCTTGTCATTATCCGTCCGCTTTTATAGTCAATTGACGAGCGTTAAAAGCGATCATCCGCATTCCGTAAAAGCGTATTTGAGCTCGAGCGGATTACGTCTCTTGTTCACCCCTTTCTCCTCCTCTCTCTCCCTCCACTGACGCTGCATATTTATCGCGTGTTTTATGCTCCCCGTCTCGCCACCCTCTGTATCTCCGCGAACAATGCCGTGGGTGTTTGATATTTGCGCAGCGAGGAGGTCGATGATTTCGAACATCGCCCACGCGTCGTAAACGCCCACGTCCCTTGCTTGGCCGTGCGCCAGCGCAAACCAAGGTTGAAATTTTGCAAAATTGAGTTCGCCGCTTTAATGAGAGACCGGGAGTGCTCGATAAACTCATAACGAGACGAGATCGTGATACAACGCCGCAAGTGTTGCACGGAAACTTTGATTTTGACATCATTAAAATATACGTTATACAAAAATATTCTGGTATTGGTTCAGTTCTCCCCTTTTTCTCTTCTCCCTTTTACTTCATTCGAATGTAAAGTGAAACCTTATTGGAAACCTAAGAATATTTCTTTCAGAAAGTCTGAAATCTAAATCTAAATTTATTTAATATTTAAATTTATCTAAAATTATTTAATTGAAATTATATAATTATATATTTATCTAAAATTATTTATTTATATCTACATTTCTCTAAAATTATTTAATTAATAGAAGAATTAAGGAAAAAAATATTTAAAATCAAAATAGAATTAATGGATTTTGTATTGGATTTAATATTTTATAAACTTGTATGTAGTATTTTAGATATTATAAAATATTAAATAAATAGGAGAAACTCTCGATGAGAGACAAGTTACAAATATTCTCGTATTTTTAAACATAACAGACTGATAAATATTGCAAAGGGTTTGACGGTCATAAATTTTGCTGATGCTAACTCAAGAACTGTTGAACTCACACTCGAAAAAATCAATTTTCCTTCTCTAATAAATGTCAATAATAAATATCACTCGATCAATCGTCAAGCATCTTTCAAGATATAGTTAAAATTCAATAAACCCTCAAAATCTCTTAATTAACGTTTTACTGCTATTTATCGCAAATTCTATTATCGTTCTATTTACATATATTTTCAATTCCTACAACAATTACCGCGCAGTGAAGTCGATTTCGTATTGAATATAGAACAGATTCGATTTTTTCGATTTCATGGGACTCGTACACGAGATTGAAAATTCTATCTCAGATCCTATCAGTCATCTTTTGAAAATTAAAAAGACACACAAAGTACAAAGAAACACTTTATTCTTCTGTTCTTCTCGAGAGTATCTTTAAAAATTTTAAATATCGTAAAAGAATAGCGAAAAAGAATATCATTATAATGAACAAAGAAAAATCCCTTCAGGGCTTTGAGTAAAGCTACATGTAATTACATCATGTTATTCGCACACAAGTGCACCCAGAACTTTTTTATGGTGTGTAGAAATGTCAAGTAAAAATAATATCTTAGCGAGCTAAATTTCTACATAAAACAAACTTAGGTACAGTACACTTATGTTCAATTAATTTTAGATAAATAATTAATCGAGTTTTTAAATTTGCTACAAACAAGTATCATGTCTGACTTAATTGTTATTAAAAGAATATATATATATATATATATATATATATATATATATCATATAGATTAGATAAAGCAATAAAGGTATAAAGCCGAATTTATAGTGCATGTTTTACGCTGTGATATAATCGTAAAACAATAAAGCGAACGTACAGCTTAATGAGAATCGAGATTGAAATCTCGTTACTTTTTACTCAACGCAAATAAAAGAGAAAGACAGGCACACACAGGCACTCTATTGTCACTGTCAGACAGGTAAAATGGTTCCACCTACGCTGCTTCATTATCTTTGTTATAGGAATGAGTTAAAAGTAGTTGTGACCGATTTTTTTATACGATTTATTTGTCTCTACAAGAATCAAATAATTAGTTTCAAAGTTCTTTTATCTCTATTAATTAATTAATCAATATTTATCATAATTTATAATTGCTATAGAAAAATATTTTTTAGAATTTTTTCTCTCTCTCTCGCGCATGATTCATTATTTCTTTTTTTATTTTAATATTCTTTAATTTCTCTCAAAATGTTTGTTTTAAAATATTGTTATGATTGTGAATTCCAATTAAAATAAAAAAAAATAATTAAAAAATATTTTAAAATAATTGTAAAACAAACAACTTTTGGATATGAAATTTATACAAATGCTGTCCAGATAGGAAATTTACCGAGACAGCCGACGCGCTTGATACTCCCCGATCAAAACGAAAGAAATAGCCGGCCTAGAAAGGAATCGCGGTTTTTAGATTATGTTTAATGGGGCAAACGCGACACAATCGTCGCCGTTGATTTATGCGACAGTACAATTCGTCCGGAATGTGATTCTTTCTCTCTTTTCTCCTTCCACGTGATTTCATTCGCGCATTGCGATTCAAGCGCTCGGTAAAATAAGCTTGTTAAAATAATATTTACGCTCAAATGCTATTTATGCGGACAACTTTTTCCTGACATAATACTAGTAATAAAATTCAACGATATGATTCGTGTTGCTCGAGCAACACAAATGGTAGGTGAACATTTTATTCTTTTTTATTCCACTTTTTCGAAATTATACAATACGAAAAAAATATAAACTTGTTATAAAATCTTTCATGATATTTTGTAATTCCTAAAATATATTAATTAAATATTTATCAAATTTACGAAATTTATACAAAATTTTTCCGTAAATCTTGAGTTCTTTTTAATTTAGCTTAATTGTAATTCAAATCAAAATAATATATAATTATTTTCTTCCTTCTCTATTAAATTGAATAAATTATATGTGTATGTATAAGTCTTTTTCGACATTTTTAATTAACATTATCACGTAATTGGCAAATTTTTTCTATCAGTTAAAGGTGAAATTATAATAAAATATAGTCATTGCTCCATTAAATTATAAATATAAAGAAACGGCTTTAAGGAGCGTAAATAAATATTTCACAATACTAACGTTATTATGTAAATAAAATTTAATTATACAAGCAAAAAATATCAAAGACAATGTCAAATCACAATTTCCATTTTCCAACATGTTGTTTTTACATTACAGTAACTGTTTAACATTGATATTACTTGACATTGTCTTTGATATTTTTTGCTTGTATAATTAAATTTTATTTACATAATAACGTTAGTATTGTGAAATATTTATTTACCTCTCCTTACTTACTCTTTAAAGCCGTTTCTTTATATTTGAAATTATAATCTCTAAAATAAAGATATAAAAAATTGAAGTTAACGTAAAAATTTTTATTATAAAACCAACATAGATATATTTTAGAAAACCGACACAATCTATTTTATTCTATAGACGATCTACTTGTAAAATACTCGTTAAAATTCATTGATTTTAAGAAAGAAATATTTGA